AAAAACATGATGGTTGGCTGTCAGAAAGAAACCGGCTTTGACCAGCATTAACTAGCATAAACTAGCTTTCACACTGCTCTAAGCTATTTTGCAAGCAAAGAAGAATTTGTTCAATGCTGGTGTAATGGACTCGTGTTAATGCAATTTGTATGTGACATGATAAACTAAAATAGACTACATGCATGTGATTGCAAAAACGTGTTTGACTTCATGGGGAGACTTTTATTGTTTTATTTTTTTTATCTTTGTTTATTTTTATTTGTGTTTATTGACTTGGAAAGTCCAATTGTCAAATGTTTTTATTTTATTTTATTATTTCTGGCCTCAGATATGGGCCTGATTTCCTGTCATCTCGTTTGACTTGGGCCACTTAGCAAACACTAAAACACCCTAGCAACACACAGCAATGCCCTTCCATCATGGTGGTCAGTTTTGCATTGGCTGACACTGTCTGTACAAACCCAGTAAGAAAGTTCAATTGTATGGTGTTTCTTTTGGGTATTTTTGGAACTGTACAAGATATTCGGGTCTGTCCCTGGTGCATTCAGCAGCCTTTGCCCTGCTCTGACTGTAACAGGTGAGAATGGTCAACCAAACTTGCCCTGCATGTTAATACTGTCGCCTGCAGTCACTCATGCCTCGACCCGCATCTAATGTTCTAACCTGCCCACGCACAGCTAATCTTGAGGCTGTCAACCCGACACTCTTCACATGCCATCATCTTCATTTCTCTGTGTGTTTATTTTGGTTCTTCATTATCATGAGGGAAATGAAACAAAACAAGCATTTAAAAAAGATTTTAAAGACTTTTCACTGTAATAATGACAAATCAATATTTTCTCTCTGTTTGCACTTCATAAATTAAAGTGAAAAATTAATCAGTCAATTATAGGGATGCAAGCGGCGTGCTGAGTTCCTTTTTCGAGGCAGACTCAAACGCCCAGCCTGTTTATTCATGAGTCTTTAATCTGTTCTTTAATGGCTTGCGTGTATTGACTGAGTGTCACAGTCGAAGCCCTCTATCAGAGGACGCCGCAGGCTACCGGCACTATTGTTTTCAAGCAAATATAAAGCAGGATCGGATTGTCTGATAACACTTCCATTTTGTAAAGAGCGATTGTTCCTGCCGTTCCTCCTTGACTGAACATCCCTCAAATCTGACACAAATAAAATCTAACATTCTCAACATATTTGGCCCATCTGGATGAGTTTTTGTGGCTGTCGGGATGTAATCACAGAAGAAGCAAATTCAGCATTGATAATAATAAGAAATGTTTATTGAGCACCTGATTTAGCATATTAGAATGATTGTGACACTGAAGACTGGATAATTGACTGCTGAAAATTCAGCGTTGCCATCACAAGGAGTTTTTAATTAGTTTTTAAATAATATTAAAATATAAAACATTTTAAATTGCAATAATATTATATTATACAATATTGCTGTTTTTACTGTATTTTTGATCAGATAAATCCTTGCAGAGCATAAGACTTATTTTAAAATATTAATACATCTTTCCAACCCCAAACTTTTGAACAGCAGTGAATATGTATATACTGTGTAAGCTGACTCTCATTGGCTTACTGAGCTATTTTATTTTATTTTTATTTATTTTTTTGCTCACTTTTTAATTAATTAATTTGTTTATTTAGCAATTTATTTAATCTTTTGAAATGTTTATATTATGCACAAATTGTCTTGATTTTATCAAACAGGTTGAAATATTCCAGATTGAAAAGAAGCAACTAAACCACAAAGCACTGCAGAAGCCATAAAATCCTTTTTTTTCTGTTTTATTTTATTTTATTCTGTTTTATTTTATTTTATTTTATTTTATTTTATTTTATTCATTCATTAATTCATATTTTTTTAATGTTTATAGTATGCTTATATCATACACATTTCTTTGATTTTATCAAACAGGTTGGAATATTTTAGACTGAAAAGAAGCAACTAAACCACAAAACACCACAGAATCCATAAAATCCATTGTGTTGCTGTTGTTTTTGTTGTTTTATATCGCTTCCTGGAGGATGATGTCATTAGGAACTGGCTTTTGTTACTTAAAGTTTTTTTTTTTTAAGAACTATAAATAGATTATCAACTAAAATATTATTCTTAAAAGTTACCTGTCATACCTTGTTACTTAAATGTAGTTCTGGGTTTTACTGCAGCAGGCATCTGTGATTTCCATCTTGACTGCGGGTTTATTCATCGATGAGGACTTTAGTCTGAGACACAGAACAAAGGTGAGAAGGAGAGGGAGGCAGATTTGAGTGAGAGAGAGAAAGAAAGAAAGAAACTGTGTGACAATGAGATGGAGGAAAGACATTGTGTGCAGGGCTTGACATTAACACCCGCCAAATGCGGGTATATTTTAGCAGTGGCGGGTAACACAGTCACTCCCACTAGCCACTTCGGCACGTTAATTTATAGACAGTAGCAGAGCTCGACATTAATGCTTGTCTGGGACAAGTGGATTTTTTGAAGGGGCAAGTGAAAGAAAGTTTTACTTGCCTGACCGGACAACAAACGTGATGTCTGTGTGTGAAAGAATCTTGTGAAGAAATCAAAACAAATGAATGCAACTGCACACAGAAGAAACATACTACTGCGGTAAAAATGTAGCTTTTATATTTCTATAACATATGATATAGCCTAGTTAAGCAACATGACACGACCAAAAGTATGCAGTTTACCCTGAAAACCAGTATGACTGCAAATTTAACATTGATTTCAAACAAGTAGCTAGTTAATAGCCTATTAAGTGACTTAGGCTACAATTTAGGCAGTCAGTGCTGACTGTTTGTGCTCGATTTAACGAAAATAGCTCCAAACAAAGATCACCGCATTAGTCGCGCATGTCTGAGCAACACACGCAGTGCTTCGTTACCAATTGATTCAGTGTATCAAACGAATCAAGGATTCAGTAACCCGTTTATAAAAACAGGCACTTGGTTCATTCTTGAATGAATCAGCTGTCTGAACGAATCGTTTGAATGAATGACTCAATGACTCACTCAATAAGTGCTGAAACTCACTCAAAACTTGCTGCCACCTGCTGGCGGTTTACTTTCATATTTAAAACTATTTCATATTTGTATATGAAATAGTTAAAAAGATATGGAGCTAAATAATGGACAATGCATACAAATTCTAACTAATAGCAATATTCTCTTTTATACAGCATCATATCTGTTACACTGTGGAACGATGTTGCTTCTGGGCAGCACATTTAAGCAATTCCTCAAAACATACAAATAATTAATTTGACTACATTTCAAAAACAAATGTGAATCATATTTTTGATGGGTGAAAAATTAATAATAATGTTTTTGTGAGCACAGTTCTCTAGAGCAATATGTGTGACCTCCGCATTCTGCACCAAAATGCCAGAAAAACATTTTAAAATGTTTGCCAGAAAGCAATGCTTTTTATTGCTTTATCTGAAGTCATTTATTTTATTATGAACCATTTGTTGCCAATGTGATTCATGCACAAAAGTTAAAAATTAGTTTGTTATCCTGAGGTAGCATTGTTCATAAACAAGCATGATTTAACTAAAATTTAAACTGTCAGGAGACAGGATTGTGCAGAGCTATTGTTTGATGACTATTCTGTGAGTGTGTTTGTCTGTATGTTGTGTAACTGCATGTTTGTGTCATTGTTAAGGTGTGTGTGTGATTGAATGGCTGCAGATGACGGTTCAGTTCACCTGTACTTCAGTGTTTTGTTCTCATTTGAATGCTAGTGTAAGGCATACAGAAACTGACCTTGGCGTAGAAAGGACTTTACAGACACAAGAGCGCTTATCTGTTTTATTTTAACAAGCCATACAAACGGTCACTGCTGCGTACGATTGTTTTGAAATGAGACAAAGCCAAGAATGAAGTGTAGATATGAGCCTATGGTGTGTAAATGTGATATTTATTCACACAAACTTTGTTATTGGCACATTTTTACCAAAAAAAAAAAAACATTCAGGGTTGTCGAAAGACCCCCCCCCCCCAAATGCCTCATTCATTCATTCATTTATTAATTAATTCAAGTGATGTTACAATCAATTTTGAAATTATTCTTGTATTTAAAGAAAAGCAACAATTATGTAAAGTCACTAGTCATTTTTATAATTATAGAAAACATTATTATTATTATTATTATTATTATTAATAATAATAATATTAACAAAAATAATACATCAGTGCTGTTCTGATAAAAACATGATGCAAGAAATGAATGTTTAATAATAGTTATTATTATCATTATTATTATTATTAGTATTATTATTATTATTATTATTATTATT